AAAAAAAAAAAAAAAAAAAAAGACTAAGATCTATTTATTCAAAGATTGCTTTACTTTCTCAGAGACTATCTCTTCTTTTCTCTCTTGCCAAAGTAGATAGCCCTCAGGTGCCTAAGAGCAATTGTTCCTGAGCAAGGTAGCTTAGCGGTCCGAGAGTCCAGAACCTAGTTAAGACGTGCCCCAGACCTGGTCAGTCCTGGGTCCTGACAAGTGGTGGCAGTGGTGGGCTGTGACACCCCTGCTTCTTCCTTGTTTATAAAAGCCAAATTTTATTTCAGGAAGAAAAAGAGGGAGAGCACACTTCTGTCTTAGTTTTACCACTGTCTGGCTGGGAGCCAGTCTTGCAATTGCTCATAAGTAGTTGAAAAGGCTGTTTTTACATGTATTCTCTTTGAGTCTATGAAGTAAATGTCTCTATGATTGTGACAAATGTTTCACATAGCGGGTGGTCTTTGTCAGATGATCGTTAAAAAGAACTTTTAATTAAAATTAATTTAAAAGAACTTTTAATGATCAGTTAACAAACAGCACCCACTGTGGTCATTAAAAGAACTTTTATGATTAACATATAATTTCTGACATAACTTGGAAAGAATTTAAATAATTGGATGAGAGTACTATCCAAAAATTCCTTCCATTCTCATTTACTTACTAAGTGAATAAGATTTCTCAGCATTTGTTATAAAAACAGGAAATAGGAATAGAATTGATACTTAATCCTATCTCATTCCAGAATTAAGTAAAATAGAATAATAAGCTAATTGAAGAAAAAAGTATCAGGACAAAATGCATTGAGAAATGAGTGTCCACTAAAATTTCCCCAAGTATAAGAACTATTGAAGAAAATTTATAGTAAATTTAGGATAATCTGATTAATAATTGTAATAAAAACTCAATTGGGAATACAACACTTAGAGCCATGATTAAATTTTTAGAAATTACTTTCGATTTGTATATATATTTAATTGCTAAGTAGGATGATAGAATCATCTTTTAAAAAATTTTCCTAAAATATATTAAATTAGGATAAAATTCTGCAGGATCTAGAATGGAAACCCAGTTTTTGTTTTTTGCCTTTTTTTTTTTTTTTTTTT